CTCTTAGTCTGACCCGTCACCCAGGACCTGTTTGCCTTGGGAGACCCTACCAGGGACATATAGCCCCCGACAACATAGCTCCTAGGATCACTCGGGTACTCAAACCCCTCCACCACAATAAGGTGGCGGTTCAAGGAGGGGAGGTTTTGGTGAATCTGTATGAATTTGATGTATGTGTTTATTATTGAGGTCAAACATTATGAGCTTCATAAAGACAGATGTTGTAGCAGAGCTCAGGATTAACACCCTCTGTGGCTTATTGCTGACATGACAGTGTCATTAATTATTCATTAATGTGACTGGACAGGAAGTCACAGCAGCGGCTCAAACTGCAGTGGCGCTCAGAAGGAGGGAGGACAAGGAGGAGGTACCCAATCAGAGCTGACCAAACAGCTGGCGACAGAGTCCTCCGGTGACAACAGCACATGTCGACCCCTGACCTCCATCTCTGGTCTTCATGGTAACAAAGACTCAGAGGACCCCCCATGCCCGTCTCCAGGTCAGCATCAGGACCTGTCCTCCATCCCACCTGAAATCTCTGCCTCCAGACAGTCCTTCCGCCCGGCCTTGGGAAACCCCGGTGATTTCTTTGTGGATGTCATGTGACTCCAAGGTCATGATGTTGTGTCAGGTGGACCTGGAAACACCTTTGTACAGGATGTGCTGACACAGACTGATGGGTCACATTTAGCTGGAGTTTTTCCTCAGAGGACAGAGACCTCTCTCACTGTGAGTGTGTCTGTGAAGCTGATGGTTAAAGAGATCACTGTCTTTATTTGTCACTGTGCTTTCAGTTTGTCTGTGCTGCTGTCCTCACTATTAAACAGTCTGAGTTTTTCTGTTCAGCTTCTTTCAGTCATATTCTGAAACAAAAGCTCATAACAAATACATGTGATGTGTACATACCGCAATGAATCCATTTCACAAGCCCTGCAGTGCCAACGTGCACAGCTCGGTTCTCTGTCACTAGTCCACATTCACAATGTGTGTTTCTGCACGTTGTGGCAAATGCAAAAAACTGGGGTCATTTTAGGTTCTGGTTCTCCACATTTTCACAGTAAAGTGAAAAAAGATGTATTCTCATAGAAATGGGGGTGAGCGACATTAGGTGAGACTCCTGTGTCTTCTCTGCAGTGTTTAGATTTACTGATTGAACACAGTCATTCGGGAACCTTGACCATAAGACTGAAATATTGAGGGTCCTAAAGCAGGACTGTGACACGGGTCTCTCAACACCGGGACATGAAAGGACGCGTCCCAATCCACAAACCCGTCGCCTCGACCTGAGTTGGAGGGTCAGAGGAGGAGTGCCCAGCCTGGACACCACCATCAGTATTAGCTTGTCTAAATAAAGATCTGTGTTAAGTGGAAACACGGTGCAGGGTTTCAGGAGCAGTCTGGGCGGGGGAGGGCGCTGGTTTTGAAACGTACGGGGCCGGGCCGGGCTGGGCTCCGTCAGCTAACTCTCTGCTTCAGCGTCCGACATCTTGCCTCCTACCAACGGAGACGGCACAGTCGGGTTTTCACGGTCAGATGTGTTTAAGAAGTGACGACCGGACCAAAGTGGTTCTGTGTGAGCCAGGACGAGACACCCCAGCCTCTTTGCGGAACCGGTAAGGACCTGAAACCCGGTAACACCACCCTCCCTCCATCTGTCAGTGTCCGTCCGCACTGCAGTAGCAGCGGCGGCGTCACCGTCTAGCTGTCGCGGTACGTTAGCAGCTGTTGCTCGTAGCTAGTCGTCGTCGTCGTCGTCCACGAACTCCCATTACAAATCAATATTTTGTGTGATATATTGCAAATCAATGCCAGGGATTATAGTGAAAATCGTGTTTTAAAATCTTTGCTGGATCACTAGAAACCAGCCTTTAATCCGGCGTATAAACCTGTCCATATATTAATGTAAAGATGTAAAATATTGTAATTTTAGCCGTGATTATGCATAGTAAATATAAGGTTAATGTACGTGATGAGCGGTAACGACAGCAAGGTTTATTTAACGTTGAGAATTATTTAAATACACGCTTTATTTGCCGAAAGGGCCGTCATGACCCGCCTTTACTGAAGGGTGACATGTCCTGATGGTTACTTGTGTAACTGCGAATTAAATGAAGTCAAATTCAAACGTTAGATATTTAACTGGAGTTCGGAATGCGTTTTACATTAGCGGGGAAATGACAGCTGCGGTGGCCAGCAACGTTAGCTTTCACCCGTACACTTAATAGGCTAATTGTTGACTTTGTTAAGCATTTCTTTTTGTATATTTGAATAGATTTAGGTCACAGGACGATAGTACCAGCTATCCCGCGATGTTAACGGGACAAATGATGACGACACTGAACCTGGCTTCTTATCCGCAGCTTCCTATTGGAATTTTCCGGTCCAGCAGTAGCACAGCGCCTGTCGAAGGGACCGTTCGGTGATGTTTCCGCTAACCCCTGGACTGGGAGCACGTACAGTATCGGTAAGAGTGACGATAACGCTGAGTTAACAGTGTAATACGCGTTCATTTTTAATCCCGAATCTAATACCGTGAATATGGGACAGGCGTGATGTCTGCTCGTTTGCTGTCATTCTGCCTGCCTCGTATTAAAAGGTCTCAACACAACCGGACTTAGCCTAGAAATGACAGTATCATTCATGAATATTAAGAAAAGTTACGTTGCATGTTTCTGTCCTTGTCCTTCTGAACATGGTACAGCGGCATAAAGCCCTAGAATGATAAGATAAGCCACTGACCTTTTTGTGAATATGTACCATGTGCAGAGGGCCCCAATGCCACCCTAAAATATACTACACTAAAAATATAAAATCCATCAGAGGGATATTAAACACCTCGGCGTAAATCTAGCACAAATGAATAAAGGGCATGAATCACAACAGCTAGAGGGCGTGGCTCAGTGTGACTGAACCATATTTTATATTTCTGTCAGACCCTGAAACCTGCTGATTCACTTGGTTTGTGTTTGTAGTAGATTTGTTGTTTTCTGAGGAGGTGAAACGTGTGACAGACTAGTGTGTCGCCCTCATGTCTGTGCTGCAGTGACTCGTCACAATGATCGGCTCTGACTGGAACCGGCCGCCCTGATTGGAGGGCTCTTCGTCTACAGCCACATCTCTGAGTCCCTGACTCTGAACTGATCCACAGGTTTCTGAGGCCTGGATTTCATCGTGTCTGTTGGGGGGTGGCAGACGTGCCAGAGCCAAAGAACCAGACCAGGTCTAAGTAGAGGTAGACTCATAAGCAGTAGGATTCATCTGCACCATAGTCTCTACATACAGGTGGATGATGTGTCACCTGCCACTATGCAAAAGTGAAGCCAAAAATATTTTGAATACAGGGGCAGCCATCTTGGTTTTCTGATGCATTTTGCAACCAAATGCTGCACAGTAGTGACTTGAGGAGCCGCAGTATCAGGCTACCAATCGTAGCTGTCAATTATCTAAATGCACTCCTTTTTATATCATCAAATAACTTACTATAAGCAACCGTACTGGGAAAATGACCACTTCGATGACCTCTGGGAAACATTTATCTGATTTGTACTTTTTTAGTTTGGCTCACGTCCTGTCTGTTAACATGGAGGGGGTGGGATTTATGACCTATACTGGAACCAGCCACTGGTGGGTGATCCACCTGTGGGAGCTGCCACCTCATCCCTGTTTTATACAGTCTGTGGTCTGGACTCGGTGTGCAGCAGCTTAGACTGGAGAGTTTCAGGTGTGACCAGGGCAGAGAAGCTTCAGGGCAACAACATATGGCTCCTCCTCGAGCTCAGTGCAACAAAGAATAATGAAAAACTAAAGGTGAAGAGGGAGCTGACCTGACATGTTGGTTGACTGACAGTGACAGTGGAAACTCTGTCAAAGATCAGATGGGTTTGATTGTTATCAGTATGATTTTTTTATTGAGTTCTATGTTTTGATAACGTTACATTACATACATACAAACTGTTAATAAAAAGTACAACCCAGACAGGGAAGAACTGCAAGGCATTGTTCCTCCTGATGTGGAGAAAAACTGTGAGTCTGTCTGCGCCAAAGAGTGTAGGACATATAATAACCTGGTCATAAATCATAGCAGCATTCAAAATGTCACTCAAGTAAAAGTACAAAAGTATCAGCATCCAAATCTACTTGAAGTACCATCAGTACCAGTACTGGTCCTGCAGAACGGTCCGTGTCCCAGTAACGTCTCTGATACTGGATCATAGTGACTAATTACTGTGTCCATCACTTTAATGCTGCAGCTGGTAAAGGTGGAGCTGATGGTAACTACCTTATATACTTATACTGGGAAGTACTTTCCATCCTGCTGGGTAGCTGGTGGATTTCCTACTGGGATCAATAGAGTCTGATGGTTCTACTGGGTTTGATTCATCTGATTCTGGACCTGAAGTTATCAGGTACATGTAGTGCAGTAAAAAGTACACGGTTTGTCTCTGACATGGAGTCACAGGATGAAGGAGCAGGACATGGAAATACTGAAGTACAGTACACATACCACAACATTGTACTCAAGAGTGCTCGAGTGGATGTACTCAGTGACTTCGCTGCCATGCTGACAGGCGGCGGTGAGTCGTGGATTTATCGCTGCGTCAGCTGACTTTTGTCATATATGACCACAGATGTTTGTGACGCTGGTTTGCGGATGACTTTGGTCTGTTTCTTTTCTCAGGTCAGTTTAAACACGTCCAGCTTGTCTGGATCATCGCAAAGATGTGTGCTGAATGTGGCGTGCTGTGGTCTCCCTGTCGCTGGGATGCAGGGAGCCTGTTGCTAGGCGACAGCAGCATAGCAACAAGCATCGCAGTGAGTGATGAGGTCATCTCAGTCTGTACTGATAACACTGAGGAGCAAGACCATGTATTTGGCAGAGTGAGATGTCTGTGTTTTGTTGATCCGAACCAAATGTCGGGATGTTAAGTTTTAATATCAATGTCAACACATCAGCATCAAAACCTGTTTAAGCTGTTAAGGTTTCTGGATTTAAACAAACCAATGTAAAAGTCCACAGCCAAACAACAGGGCACCTGTTGTGACACAAACGTGGCTTTGTCCCAAGATCCTGCAGCTCTGAACACGGTCACAAGTTTGGATTCTTTGTGGTGTTGTTTCCTTGGTCGCTGACAGAGGGGCGGCACGTTCTTCCGCTGCATACGTACACTAGGTGTGTTTTATTTGTGTCGGAGCAAAGTCAAGGATGAGTTGGAGGTGATGGTTTGTGCTTCTGTAGTACTTTTATTTTCAGGTGCATTACATCTGTTGTACTTGTGTCTTGTCATTGCAATTTGCACCAACTAAAGGAAAACAAAAGGAAAAAGTTATGTGCAAACTGATGTTTTGATTTCTGTCTACAAGGTGTGACTAAAGTAACAGTCAGAAAGCAGAGATGTCTGGAGGACTGCACCGAGGACATCTTCACAAAGCATAGAAGCCATTATCTGTCTTTCTATCCATTGTGAGGTGTTTCTTTTTCTTTGTGACTCCACCTTCACTGGGTGGGTTTGCTGAGTGCATCTGTACCTCCATGACTTGTGTGTGAAATGGCTGCAGGACGTGGATGTTGCAGTGAAAGCTCAGTGTTGATAAAAGCACCTGTGGCCAGTAGTTCCAGCGAGACAGGAGACATCTGCTCTCCATCAGCTTCTTATCCCTTTGTCATCCACAGAATTAATGTCCAACAATCCAAAAGCACTAAATCATTTGTTTTCCAAAAAGCAGTGGATAAGCACCGCTCCTCCCACTGGGGCACCTCACTGGTATGAATCAGTTATTAAAATAGGAGCTGAAACGTCTTCTGTGGATTCGCTGATTCACTGACGAGCAGCTAGCACCACATTGTCTTGATGTTTTTGTCCAGTAGAAATGCTGTGGCTGCGTTTTGTGTTAACGTCATCCACACCCGGCAGCGGGTCCGGCCACCATCACTTGCACATCAAGCGCTCCTACATCTGGCTAGCAGCTGTCACCAAGCAGAACGTCAATACCGCCATGGTGTTCAAGTTACTCTACAAGATGCATGACGTGATGATGGTGTACTTCAGAAAGATCAGCGAGGAGAACGTCAAGAACTTCTTCGTCCTGATCTGTGAGCTGCTGGATGGTAAAACCATCGTTTCCTTCATGGGGTTATAACAAAAGGAGAAACATTTCAGTCTGGTTGTTTCTTCTGCTTTTATTTTTGAAGAGGAAGTGTCATCCCTCAGCCTGAGGACGCCACCGCCGCCGCAGCTCTGCTGCTCTGTTGTTTTTTTAGGTTTTGATTTTTTGTAGCATTGGATGAGAAAATCAAAGCCTAAAGAAAATACAGCGCTGACAGGAGACAAGCCCTTGAGTTCTGATGATGATGATGATGATGATGATAATAATTTATGCGGATTACCTGTCCCAGTGAAGGACTCTACTGTCAGCTGTTTCTCTAACGATATCGTTTATTTATATGCTGGTCAGTCTGTCGTCTGCACTCTCTTCTTCTCAGCATCCCTCGGTCAGACATTTTTGAACCACCAGGTGAGAAATAGCTGAAAATTTCAAATCCTGCACAAAGTGGCTTTGATGTGCCAAGCTCTGGTCCAGGTACAAAGTGACCCAGCTGGTTCAGGTCCTGTAGCACAGACAGAACAGAGACCACCTGACTGAGCAACATGTCTGACCCCTGTCGTCCTGTGCTCCCCAGACCAAAGAGGAGCACCATCCAGGTCACCGGGCAGATCGGCTGGAGGAGGGAAGGAGCTGACGCAACGAGCTGTTTCTGGACGTGTTGGAGGGCGTCAGCCTGCTCATGTTACCACAAGGTACCTGCAAATTACTGCTGCAATTCTGGTATTACCGCTAAGGTACCATTAATACTGCTAGGGTACAGCTAATGCTGCTGCAGTGCTGGTGATACTATTGCAGTACTAGTTCAGTGCTGGTGATACTTTAACTATAGCAGCACTAAGCAGTATGTGAGGCTGTAATGTACATGCTGATTCAGTATGGACACAATAACCTCTACACAGTTGTGGTTAGTGAGGTGCAGCTGTGCAGCCTCCCTGAGCCACCAGAGGGCGACGTCATGCCTGCTTTACCTGTGTGCAGGTCAGGTGCTGAGCACCCACGTCGGGCACGCCGAGTGCTGACATCCGCGGCAGCTGTTTAAACTTTATTAACACTTGTCCACAACAGACACAGTCTGGTTCTGTTCATGTGAGTTA